ACTCAAATCAGATTTTTTTTTTCATATTTACCCCTCAAATCATCTGTAAAATATATAAATAATATTGTTCAAAATCAATAATATAACTAAAACAATAAATATTCCTAACTAAAATGTTTCAAAAATTATCATTCAAAAATTATCTAGAAAATAAAAGCATAGTCATTTTTGTTCAAGCTACACATCCCAGAATTTTAAAGATACGGAGGCACTTTGTCAATTAAATATGCAATAAAGAGTAAATTAGTTTCGTTCAGAATACATTAAAGAAAAAATAATAATTTCAAATTTCTCTGCACTAGTATTTTTAATTATTCATGTACAAAATATAGTATTTATAGTATTATAGTATTTAATAAGCTTCAACACCAATTGTATTGGAATAAATAAAAAACTAAATGGGTATAATTAAAAATTAAAATATGTTTATCACCAGAAAATTAATTTACACACAGCTAGTGGGAAAACATAATTTAAAAATTTCAAGTCACTCTTATCAATTTTCAGTCTCCAAATTTTTTTATTTATTATCCCATTGAGAGTCACCTCATTGCGACGCAAGCACTCTATCCCCTGAGACATCGTGACTCTACAAAATTGGTATTCTACAAACTGAAATCAATAGAATGAAAATGAAATGTAAGTGATAACTATATCAAGATAAAATCATTGAGGTGAGTGAATTTAAGAGCAAAAGAAAAAAAAATTTAATCAACCAACCACTTGGAAATGCAAACAGATATTCAAGGCAATAACAATATGGAAGCCTCAATGCTAGATTGATGTTACCACAGTTAAAAAATAAAAAATATCTCCCAGAAGATCAATTTCTACTAAGACAAGACCAGTCCTATTGAGCAATAGTTTAGGTAGAAAAAAATTGAAAGTTATCCAAAGTAAAATACAGATTGTTACTTATATGCTTAATTTAGTCAATTTAAATAAGAAATTATTTCAATTTTGCGTACTCAATTAGAAACATTAGACATTTTAAAAAAATGCAACTATTGATAATTGCAGTAATCAGACTTAACTGTTGGAATAAATATAAACTGCCAGATCATGGAAATTTCAATAGTTAAAAATAAGAAAAATATCAATAAAACAAAAACATAACAAACAGTAAATTGCAACTTTTTTAAGTAATCCAAAAAAATTCAGCCAAAACACTTCAATCAATGCTTAGTTGCTGAGTGGGATGCCCATTATTTCGAAAAAATATTTTACTTATTTAATTTTAAAGTTAAAAATAAATTAATTATAAACGCAGGCATTTGAAAATTCTTCTAAGTAATCCAAATCAAAAATATTCAATCAGAAAGTAAAAATAAGTAATCAAAATCAAATATATAAAAACTTTCTTAGAGGTGCATTCGTAAATGAATCTTTAAATCACAGAGGGTCAAGCAAATATAAAGTCACAGTTTGACCTGTAGTCTTTACAATAGTGCAAAAGCTGTTTTCACACTAAATATCCACCACATCCCAAATAAATAGCAAAAGATAAATTAAACTTTTGGTCAATTATTAGTAACTAATTAATGCCCAAAGTCCTTTGCAGGAAATTTCCATTTAAGTCACAAAAATTATTTTTTGCTATAAATTTAACAAAAAATACTTTCAAGGATTCATTTATTTTAAGTAGTATAAATGAAAACAATTATTAAGTACTTAGTAGTTAATCTAGTCTTTATTTCAAATCCAAATAGGAAGCTACTTTAGACAATATTCAAATTAAAATTGCAAAAAAGTTTTAATTTTTAATTAATAATTTGCTTTTAGTAAGTATTTTAATAATATAATTGCAAGAAACATTTTTTCTTGAAACGCCAACATAACTTTAAAGAAAATAATTTATAGGAATTAGAGTCAACTTGCAATAACTCAAAGTACAATAACTCGATTGTTGCTATAACTCAATTTGCTTCATGTTATCGCAGCACTTGGACCATGAATTTCAAATAATTCATACCCAATTATTCTATTTTTAATCCTTTTAACTTGATTTCTTTTTATGAGATGATCTGATCCTTTTTTTATCAGGAGAAAGAACAAAGAAACATTAATTAGAATCACGGAAGTAAAAAGTTGTTGTCCTTTGTCGTACAATTTATGCACAGTGGGCTCAACCAGTTGAGTCAGGCATCAGTAGTCTGACATGTTGAGTCAGGATGAGAGAAAGGGATAAGAACTGTGTGGAATAATTATATTTACTTTTTTTTATTCATATTAGACATACTGCAAATAATCAAAATATTGAGATTATAGAGGAAATCTTTTTTTTTAAACATAATTTCAATATATATATATTTTTTTTAAAATAATAATGCCATACTATAAAAACTTTGTTTTAATTTGTCCAATTACAAAATATGCTTTCATCATTTAAATATGAAGATAATTAATTTTAAATTTAAGTTACACTTTCGCCTCAGAAATACTCTTTCACTCTTTATTGTAAAAACTTTTTGCAAAAAGCAGTCTATAATTCTGAATCGTCTGCTGATTTCAAAGTTTATTCTATTATTTACATTCTTTAGAAAGCTTTCTAAAGCTTTGCTCCATTTTCCGTTTTCACTATCAGTGATTTTCAAACTTTTGGGTCCTTTTATAGCAAAAGTAGGTCCAAATTAATGACGCCCGCTGGCTGAGTGGTAGCGCTTCGAGCTCTCGTGCCACGGGTCCTGGGTTCGATCCTTGGGTCGGGCAAGGTTGACTCAGCCTTTAATCCCTTCAGTGGGTCGATAAATGATTACCAAGCGTGCTAGGGAACTAAACACTGGGGGTTTTGCGTTCGGCTGACCACCTAACCGGAACATCTGCTCCTGCATCCCAGAGCCCAAGGTCAAGAAAACTAAGATGGGCACAGTAGGCTGGCCCTCTATGGGCTGTCATGCCACTGAGTTTAGTTTAGGTTCAAATTAAAAACAGAATAAATTCAGATTTCAAAGTTACACATGAGTAAATAATTTATGTTTCAGTTTTTTAAAGATGTTACTTTTACTAAAAGCTAAAATTTAAAACCTATAAAATCTACAAAAGTTTATGTGAAATAAAATAAATTGCAATTTAAACTAAGTTTTAAAAACTAAAACATACGGAAAGAAAAGCTTCAAGATTTTTTAAAAGAAAAAAATATATACAAATGAACTGTGATACTCAGTTGTCAACAAACTCTCTAATTCCTTATGTTCATCTAATTAATGTGTGCATTTATATGTATTCCATTTAATGATAGACAAATAAGAAAAGACTTATAATTGAAGAATCAAAGCTTTCAATTACATTCAAAAACTCACACAACTGCATCAAAGAAAATCAAGTATGTAATATGATATTCACATAAGTAGTTTATATTTCTGGTGATAATTCGGAACTGAAAACAACTTTTGCTAACTTTTTTCAAAGTTTGGTTAATTTCTTCCACATCAGAACAATTCTGTGGTGCTTATCCCAATTTTTTCTGCTTTCGAAAATTATGTGACCGAACTTTATTTTTGTGTTTGGTCTACGATTTTTAGCATATTTAATGTGCTATAACACAGTGTTCCCCAACCTTTTTATCACTGCGGACCTGTCAACGTTTGATAATTTTAACACGGCCCGCTGTGGAAGGGGACGTTGATTGTTTATATTTTAGATTATTTTGATTTATTAATTTTAATTTAATTGTATTTAAACATGTCTTCAAAATAAAATACAGTTGCACCAAAAAAATAAATATAAAGGGATTTAACATTATTACTTACTAGAACGTAAAATCAATGAGAACCCTGAGCTTGTTTCTTTGCAATGAGACGGTTCCATCAGGGGGTAATCAGAGGCAATGACACCCGAAGTGTGTTGCTTGTCTCCAGTTTATTCAATGTAAATATCGCGCCGTGTTTTCGTGTTTAATTTATGATATTTACAGTTATGATGATTGATTTTTTTTTAATTAAAACTAATTTCTTTTTTTTTTTTTTACTTTTTAAAACATTAAAAAATTTATGTCACTACCTTCGAGTGCCAAGTTTTTTAAATAAATAAAATTTTAATGGAACACAGATATTTTTAATTTGGGGTATAAGCCTAGGAATTTAAATTCAGTTTGAATTAAATGGGCGGCCCGGTACCATTTGATCCACGGTACCGGTCCACGGGTTGGGGAACACTGCTATAACACATAAAAAGAATAATCACTGCACTAGGATACTATATTTCCCTTGCACAGATAACAAAATAAGTTTCTTTTAAGCAAAAATAAAAACTAGAATAGGCAAGAAACAAAACCAAACTAATGATAATGGGAAAAAATGGATGACGCAACAAAAATTATAACTTTTTGAATTCCTTTTCAAAACCCATAACAAAACCATATTTTGCTACTCACATAAAATGATCAATTCTATGTATTCATTCAATAAAAAGAGAATTTAATTAGAAAGCCTCTTATCTAACTAAATCTAGGCAAATATTAATAAAATTAGAAAAAGAAATTATATTTGAAAATTAAAATTTCATATTAATCAATTATTCTATTTTTACTCCTTTCAATTCTTTTTCTTTTTAATACAAGACTTTATCTTTTTACAGCAGGAAAAATCCCAAAATAAACATTAACCACAATCAAGGAGGTAACAATTTGTTGCCTTTTCTCTTTCAATCTATGCACAAAGGACTCAATTGCTCTAAATAAATTGTGACAAGCTGAGATAAAAGGATTACGACTGAGAGGAATGATTAAACCTGTTTTCTTTTATTTATATCAAACCTACTTTAAATAATCAAAACATTTTGATTAGAGAGATAGTAAAATATTTTTTAACATATTTTAAAAAATGAATTTTTTGAATCTACTTTGGTTTAACAGGTATTCAGATTAAACAGCTTCAGATAATCATAGTTCTTCTATATTTGACAATGAAAGGGGGTCTAACACATCAAAAACTGCTTTTGTAAAGCACCTATATTGAGTTAGAAAACAAAGCATAAGTAAATAAAAAATAAACATGACTTACGTCAATGCTACTATATCACCAGGCTTAACTTCAAACTTGCGCATCACCCATTTATTTAGTAACACATAATCATTTGTTTTATCTTCTTCAGGATTCAAAGCAGGCTATATAAAATTAAAATAATTGTTACAGTAAATATCAAAGTCAAAATTCTATTTTACAGTTGAACCATGATATCATGGATCTTTAATTTAAACAAATGTTTTGATGTCACAAAAATATCGAAATGCTCTTTTCGTTTGTGATGTTGCTCTTAGGAGAAAAACTCTTTACTCGAATATAATTCTCAGGGACCCGATTTTACAAAAAACTTCTTGTCCTAATTTCTGAAGAATTTTAGATGCTTTTTTAAATTTTAATTCAGAAAACTCAATAAGAAACAGATTGCCAGGTTGAAAAGATATTATTGAACAATTCAGTTTTAAGATGTAGACATGCAAGATGTGTGTATACATAATAATATTTGCTAATCAAATAACAAAAAATACATTAATTTAATGAATCCAAAAAAAAATGTCACAAAGTGAAAAAAACATTTCTACTCGGTTCTGAGAAAAAAAAATTTCACTCTGACAGAAGTGTCGATTGTACTAATTATATTCAAAAGAGCAAGCGAGTTTTCAAATCCAATTGGTGCAATTTTAGGGCTCATCTGTAAACAAACGCAATGAAAATATAAGAATAGTTCCAGTAAAAAAAACTTAATTTCGGAAACGTTTATAGCGTTTAAAATTTCTGGCGTTGTTGAAAAGATAAGTAATTAAAGTAAATATTTAAATTGAATTTACAAATATTTAATTAGTGTGAAATCTTTAGATAAAGTTGCTTTTAGTTAATTTCATGTGGTTTGTAAAATTTTAAAAATATTAAATATGATTATTTTTTATTATAACTCTGCTTTACATATTTTAGAGTCTGGTAAGCAAGGCAACCAATCTAAGATCAAATAATTATCTTCGAGCAATAACGAAAAAGAGGGGCTTAGGAAATTCACTTTTTATTTGAATAAAAATAATTTTAAAGTAAGTAAAATAAGTTAATACAAATGTGAACTTCTCTTACTACTAAGCTCTTAACAAAACAAATCTGTATCTTTTTTTGTGTATATGCATCTATATATTTTCTATCTTTTAGCTATCAAGGCAATGTGCTTAACAAATAAGAATTGCATAGTACTTTTCAAGTGCTAATAAAGAATTGTGTGCTAACTCAGTTATATATAATAGAAATTTAGATAGTTTATTATATTAAACAATTATTTATCAATAGCTTTTATGACGAATATATCAAACATAAAAATAATGCAAATTGGCAACAAACCCCTATTTTTAAAAAAAAAAAAATTCTGCTTTTTTTAAAAATTAATGCTGGCTAAGTAATTTAAACTGGTCGTTGCTTGGCCTAACAAAAATCAGTTAACTATGACATACACCCTATAAAAAGATTAATTCCCCCAAATTATTATTATTTTTTTATAAATACAGCACTGCCTTGGACTGTAATGTTTCATATATGCCCAGTAAGCACACACCTCACGGCAAACGTAAGGCCGTAAGCTGGCATTCTAGGTAGGATAACGGCAAAAGGCAAGTACAATACGGTCCTTTATCGTTTGTTTTGAGGCATTTCAGGAAGCGGCGGAATAACTCCTCACTTATACAGGCCCGAAAAATAAAACCGTTGTTTGGCCTCTTACACTAAATTAGTTACAGGACCTTTATTGTATACCGCTGTTTGGCCTCTTACACTTAATTAGTTACAGGACCTTTATTGTATACCGTTAATTAAATGTAATGTTACAATTGATTAATAATGAATAGATGCAGAGTTGGTAAAAAATGTGCTTTTAACTCAAAACTTTCAAAAAAATCAGGAGAGAAAGGAAAAAAATTCATAAAACATTAACCGTATTTTTTGAGAGGAAAAAAACAGTTTTTATTATTCTTTGAAAACTGCTAATTTTTTAAATAGAATATTAAAAACTAGAATTTTATTATTTTATTATAATCTAAATATACTTTCTGTGGCATTACCTATTATATTTTTAAAAAAAGTAATTTTAATAAAAANATGAAAAAACGAAGTTATTTTGTATTTATAACGCATCATTTATAAGCAATACCATGCACTTTTTTTATTGAACTAAAAAATCTTAAATATTCCGAGCTAGAAAATTTCGTCAAGTATTAACAATGTTTCAGTGGGTACCACTGAAATTTAACATTATAAAAATACGTTATATCAAATCCACATTTTTATTAAGCGATATTAAGGCGCAATTTTTTTATTCAGATAGCTTTAGATCATCTAAAATAGTTGGATTTAATTAGAAAATTTAAACGAAAGCAAGAACGTATTGCTTTTCACAGCACAGCTATTGTAAGTGAACGGGAGATGGACACGTGTGACGTCAGTTCGTGAATAATCACGTGACTCCCCGTTTCAGGCGAAAACGAAAGTAAGCGTTTTTTGATTGAAAATAACTAAATAAATAGCCTTCTTAGAAAAGTAATAAAATGTTTTCTGGGAGTTTTGAGGGATTCTGAATGCATTAAAATTTTAAAAAAATTTGACTGTAATTGTCCATTGTGTGCTAACTCAGTTATATATAATAGAAATTTAGATAGTTTATTATATTAAACAATTATTTATCAATAGCTTTTATGACGAAATATATCAAACATAAAAATAATGCAAATTGGCAGCAAACCCCCTTTTTTTTAAAAAAAAATTTCTGCTTTTTTTAAAAATTAATGCTGGCCAAGTAATTTAAACTGGTCGTTGCTTGGCCTAACAAAAATCAGTTAACTATGACATACACCCTATAAAAAGATTAATTCCCCCAAATCATTATTTTTTTTTTACAAATACAGCACTGCCTTGGACTGTAATGTTTCATATATGGTGATTATGATAAATCAAAAATATTAAAAGAGGCAAAGGGATCTAGAGATATGTCAGAAAAGAAGATGACCAGATTAGCAAAACCTGCAAATCAAATGAAAAGAAAATATATTGCTTGAAATAAATATTTTTTTTTTTTTGAAGTGAATACTTGTTGAGCATCTTTTAAAATATCAGTATAGTAATTATTTTAATTAAATTGTTGGGGGGGGGGAACATTCAATATCACAAATGTTCAAAATCACGAGATGTTTTAGTTTCTCCTTTCGTATTAGTAATATCAAGGTTCAACTGTAATTTATAAATAAAATAAGAAATAAACACAAAATATGCTTTAAAATTGTGGTAATAGATCAATAATTTTCATCTTCATTTTGCATTTAAATATTTAATACCATAAAATTAAAGGACATAATGAAATGTAATTTAAGTAATAGAACACTACAGTAAAACCTCAATTATCCTCAATTGTTTCATCTGAATATCTTTGATAATTTAAGTTAATACCAAACTGAAGAGTGGTCATGCCACCTCCACCGAAATGTAATTTAAGTAATAGAACACTACAGTAAAACCTCAATTATCCTCAATTGTTTCATCTGAATATCTTTGATAATTTAAGTTAATACCAAACTGAAGAGTGGTCATGCCACCTCCACCTATAGAATTTCAAATTTATCGTTAAAAAAAACAGTTAATTTAAAAAAATAAAAAAAAACAGTTTTCATATTTTTTGCACTATTGTAAACAATTTCCCAGACAGGGAAGGCTGTCTTATCTTCCTTCTTATAAAAAAAATTGAGTATTTTGATCTATTTGCCCAGTAACATGCAAATTATGCCAACATGGGTACATTTTATTTCAAATCAGCAATTTTAAAATATCCTCAAATTTTCATTTGGAGAGCAAGATAGATATCCATAATTCCATTTTTAATATTCAATTTTATTATGTAAATCAGTCATTAAAAATGTTTTAATTAAAAATGTTTTAATTAATATTATGAAAGATTTATGCATTCAGTAAGTTTTAAAATACAATGTAAATTTTTAAGTATTGTGATCCAGATGTGTGGCACGTCAGGCTATATTGGTATTGTTGATGGCTGGAGTTCAGAGAGTACCAAGTTGAACTTAAACAAAAATTAAAATTCATAAAAAAAACTTAGTAAAGCAAATTTCAAAACAAGATGAAATAATAACAGTTGATTAATAAAAAAATGAATACTAAAAGAAAAAAAGAAGTATACTACAGCCAGGTAACTGAATATCCAGGTGAAATTCCTAAGATATATCCCTGTCTGTAGCAGTAACTAGTGTTAAAATGTTGTAAGCAATGTACCAAACTAGTGCGCATTACACAACTGATTTCAACTCACAAAAAATACATATTTTATACAAACAGATACTATATAATAGATTTAAAAAAATGTTTGTGGTATTTCTTACTTGCATTGATATACCTTCTACTTTGGCAACATATCCCACATTATCCAAAAATACAACAACAACAGGCACACTAAAAAGGAGATTCTTGGTTGCATTTTTAAGCCATATTCCCCATTTACTGGTCTGGGCCATTTTATGCTTCCTTTTTGACTAAAAGAAAATAAGAATCACTTAATAAACATACAAAAATATAGTTACAAATTTTATAACCATAACAAAATGAAATTTCAGATCAATTGTTTAAGTATAGAACCAAACATCAGTTTTATGCAGAAACTGGTTGCTTTCCTCTACAACAAACCAGTTTTCTGTGTGCTGATGAATGGAGAAACTTTCTTCGATAAATTCATGTCTCTAATTTGTGCATTGCTATAATGAAGATTAAGAAAATAGGGTAAACACTCTGTGTATGGTTATCACCCTATGAAGTGAAAGAGGACTGATATTTGATAGTAACAGGGAGAGTTTGAAGATGTTGCTATGATCACCAGAAACAATGTATCGAATATAATAAAGATGTGTAGAGCTGATACATTTTTAGCTATTTTATGAGATAATTGTAATTATGTAATTTATTTTATCAAAATAAAATAGAAGTTTTAAGCTACAAATAATTAATTGAATCTGATATATCCTGAATGTTATGCTTTAAAAGTCTTCAGGCTGAAGAATGCGATAAATCCCTTACAGTTGGTACAAAAATGTGAACAAATGAGTTAAAATAATTTTGTAAAAAATGTAATTTAAACAATAAAGAAAATGTGATTCAAAGAGTTATTCAGTCAAACAATAAACTAAAATGTGAACTCCTGCCAAAATGAAATCCTAGTTAAGACCCTGCACAAGACCTAGATAATATATGTCAACTAATGCAATGACAAAGTTCAAACAATATTTTCTCCTTTTTTCTAAATAACGTCCTGCATATACCCTTATTAATTAGCCCATGTGATGCTTGTGGGGTGTATCATAGCCCAGCTCTATAAAAAAGTTGAATATTCCTAATAGAGAGAAAAAATAATTGACAACATAACTATGGTAAATGCCATTTCATTTGAAACTCTTGTTTTAAAGTGTTTGTAATTTAAGACTATTGAATAAAAAACAGGTTTTAAAATTTTTTGATATGATTTCTGCATTATGTGAAAATCTGGACAATTTTTAGACAAATGTTTAGTAGAAGTTAAATTGACAAATCCAATTTCAACCTGCGAAAATGGACTTGAGATGCATCAGATCTCAAATTTAAAAATTAAAAAAAAATATTATATTCCTAACTTGAGAAGCCAAAATTCCCCATTGCATTTAGTATTAACTGTCTAATTGACTTTTTGAACAAGTTTCCACTTAAAATAAGAGTTTTAGAAAAGGATTGATTAGCTTATTTTGTAGAAATATGATTATGGCACGCCTCATGTGTATAGTTGTGTGTGTGTGGTTTTTTTTTTTGTTTTTTGTTTTTTTTCATATGGAATGTGTGTAAGAGAAATTAACTTCTATTGCATAACATTTCAAATATTTCTGCTTGCAAGATTTTTACATTTTAAATCTCTTTTAGCAAACCATGCAATTACCAGAATAACTAATAGGTGTGCTAATAATAACGTTTCTCTTCTGCCCTGAATTTTGCTGCAATAAATGCTTGATTTATTTCAGCTTCAACTGCTAATCCCTGTTCAAATATAGAAGCAAGCATCTGTTTTTAAAGGATTTTCTATTTAAGTTAATAAAAAGTTGCCTAGAATGACAATTTGAGATTGAGACTAAACTGAGAAGTTTAAACACTGCATGCAGGGCCGGGATAACCTGGTTTGTAGGGCACTGGGCCCATGCCTAAGAGGTCGTGGGTTCGATCCCTGCCGGTCGAAGACTCTCCGTGTAGTAAATGCTGACTGATGCACGTTAAATCCGTCGACTCATAATGTCCTCCATGTTCCCATGACAAATCAATACCTCTGGGGGTACTGATCTAGAAGTTTCCTAGTCTTCTGGATGGGTTCAAAATTACAAGGCTACGGAGTTGAACATTAGTAATCGTAAACCCGAAAATTGAGTCGGCTGTTCAACGACGGTTATAAAAAGAAAAATTTAAAAAATACTGTATGCAAAAGAAGGGTATGTGTTTCAAATGAGTCCATGACATTTGATTGACAAAGTTCAAATGGAAGAAAATGCCAAAAAAAATTTTTTTAAAAATACACAATAAATACATGCTACAAACACACGATTTGTTCATGGTGATTGTTTTATATTAGTTATGTAATTAAACTTAGTGGTATGTTTATTTTACTAGAATTTTCAAATGAACGAATTTTACTTGTTTATAAACTTATTTTTAAAACATTTCTCTAATCACTCAAGTTCTATTCAGTTATGATAAATTAAGAACTGTTTAAAAAATGGATAACGCTATTTGAATCGAATTTCAAGAATTGAAGTATGAGATACCCCAGGGGCCAGCAGGTGTAACTTTTTAGGATGGAGCGCTCTCGCGGTTAATTTTCAGTTATCACAATCGAGCTGTTTGTTCAAAACATGCGTGTCTCTTGGCTTAGTAAAATGCGAAAAATAAACACACGAAGTTAAAGATCAGACTTCAAACAAAAATACACCCTGATTAAATTATAGCCTAGCAATAAAACGCTATTTGCAACTTCCGATTTTTTTCCCCGCACTTGTATTTGTTCGAGTGTTCTGGACCACAATTCTTTACCATCCTAAAACAATCTCATTTAGCATAAAAAAACAAAGAATAAATAACTTATACAAACTTAATACAACGTAGAAATATGAAAAGGACATACAAAATATTAAACTATAAATACAGTCTTCGACAGTTTTAAAACACAGAAGTAAAAGTTGACTAAAAATTATTAAACGATGTATTTGTCCTGTACAATCAAAAATTAAGTAAATGTTTAAATTGGTGAGGGATTTTAAATTGGCGTAAATAGCAATGAAATCTGGTTAAGGAGGAACTCACTCAAGAACTTATAAATTACCGCTAAAAATTTTCACGAAAAATAGCAGAAGACAAAACAAACTGCAGTATTGCCATCTCTTGAAATCGTATAACAGAAATTTTTAAAACCAAGCAGGCCGAGGGTTTAGTTATCGTAGTCTAAAATTTAGACAGGCTTATAAACCATTTAAAATTTTTTTAAGGATTAAGTTGGACAAAAACAAGGCTATTAACTACCCTGTTTCGATACTTGTCTATCTAGTTTTTGTTTACCAAGTTTCGATATTAGAATTTAATATTTGATACAGGATTTTTTGATATTTCTGTTTCTTAATTTCTAATCTAAACAGTCATTTAGTGGGATGCATTTCTGACTTAGCTTTGATGAAGAAAACACTATCAGTAATTTTTATTTAAAGAGAACCACATTGTTTGTAGGAAAACAAGACATTTGCTAAAAAAACATTTTTACTTACGCGCAATTAAATTGAAAAAAAAATGGGTTACCTCTATGTCTATGACAAAATTTATGCAATGTGTGTGATAAAAATTTGCCTGAAAAGAACTTTAGTAAAGCACTTTTCTATTCATTTTGAAAAGAAATTTTATTCTTGAGTGTGTGGTAAATATTTTAATTGGAATAGTGATTTTAATATAAACTATTTTATTCATTTTGACGATGTATCTTATTTTTGTGGAGTGTGTCATAAACCATTTACATGTAAGAAAAATTAGACTTGCAGCTAAACATTGTATAACAATCTATTACAACTGAATATTCAGGAAGATTTTCGCATCGGTATCAAAGCCCAAATAAACGTCAAGGTTTGGTGACTTACAGTCTGCAAGTAACTAAGAAAAAAGCATCCCACAACGTGTCCTACTCGAAGTTCGTTTTTTTTTTTTTTAAATTTTTTTACTGCAAATTAAAAGATTACTACAGCTTGGCGATTGTAGTTAGCGTGAACATATACCGTTGCAGAAATATCCTCTAAAATTAATTAGCTCTACAGTTTCGTTTTCATGCTAAATAGCAGTATATATATATATATATACACATTTGTTTTAAGATGGAAAACACGGAAAATGAAACTACAAATGATTGTGATAATTCACTTGCAACTAAAGATAGTTCTTGCAGTCAATCTGCAGCGAAACCTTATTCGTGCAATGAGTGCCATAAAACATTTACAAGAAAGAAAAATTTAGTTCAACATTCTCTTATTCATAGTGGAGAGAGGCCTTTTTCATGCAGCACATGTAACAAAAATTTTAGACGAAGAGGCGATTTGCACGTACATTATCGCATTCATATGACAGAGAAACCTTTTTCATGCAGTATATGTTGCAAAAGTTTTATACGTAAGAGCAATTTAAATGAGCATTATCGTGTTCATACTTCTAGAGACTTAAAACCTTATTTGTGCACTGTATGCAATAAGAAATTTGCGAAAAAAGGCAATTTGAATAAACATTCTCGTGTTCATGCAGAAGACAAGCCTTATTCATGCAGTGTGTGTGATAAAAGTTTCACTTGTGAAGTTGATTTAAATAAACATTCTCTTGCTCATTCCAAAGATAAACCTTATTCATGTAACATTTGTGGTAAAAGTTTTATAAATAAGAGCAATTTCAATCAGCATGTCCGTGCCCATAATGCGGAAGAAAAATTATATTCTTGCAGCGTATGCAATCGAACATTTTCGAGAAATAGCAATTTGAAAAGACATGCTCGTGTTCATACTGGAGAGAAGCCTTATCCTTGTAATATGTGCGAAAAAATTTTTACACAAAAGGCACATTTGGATAAGCACCATCGTCTAGTTCACATTACAGAGAAACCTTATTCGTGTAATGTGTGTTCTAAAGCATTTGCAAGTAAATATGATTTAGATAGACATTCTCTTGTTCATACGGAGAAGTATTCTTGTAGTGTGTGTGATAAGACATTTTCATACAAAGTCTCCGTGAAGAAGCACTTTGTTATTCACACAGGAGAAAAGCCTTATTCATGCAGTGTTTGCAATAAGACTTTTGCACTGAAGTCCTCTTTAAAGCAACACAGTATTATTCATTCCGGAAAAAAGCCCTATTCATGTAGTGTGTGTTATAAAAGGTTTAATTTTAGAGTAAATTTAAGAACTCATTTTCTTGTTCATACTGGACAAAAGCCTTTTTCCTGTAGCATGTGTGATAAAACTTTTGCATTAAAATTTCAATTAAAAAAGCACTCTCATGTTCATTCAAAAGATACATATATTCATGTAGTGTGATTAAGCAGAACATTCTTTTTGAAAAGTAGTATAAGGGTATTTTATAATGTATAAGCTATTAAGGAACGATATGAGAAACCATTCATATATAGTTTTTATCTTTTTCAATTATGATTTTATGATTGTGCAGCTGTTTTAGCTGTGCATTTCATGTAAATAAATTATTTACTGCAGCACTTGTTCATAAATGATAGAATATGTGATTTTTTTTCTAGAAGAAGAAAAAACTGTGATTTAGCTGTAGTAATTTGCCAAATTTTGAAGAAAAAATATTTTTTAAAGTATTAAACTAAATTTTTAATAGGTTTTTCAAATTTGAAACTTAAAGTTGCATTAGAAGCACTAATGTGAAAAATATTATTAAATTCCTTTTAAAAAATACAATGTTAATTTTTAGATCTCCTATTCTATACTAATGTGTTAGTAATTTCTTACAAAAAAATTATGATCTATTTGCATACTACTTTATTTGGTATTTTATTTATACAAAAGCTTATGTGTTGTTATTTGTGCTCTTTTGCTGTGCTTTTAGAAGTTTTTTGTAGCTTTTAATCAACACTTGATCAGAAGTTTTCTAATAATTAGTTATTAAAATTGTTGATAATTATTATCTGAGCTCTACATTTCTAAGTTGTGATTTTTGTTATGTAGTAGTAGTGATACTTTGTTTAATTTGCTCTAAAACTGCTTACTGAGCTATTGGCGATGCTCTTTGAAACATCCCTGAGGATGATCCAAAAACACACCATCACAATTTTGATCCTTCACTGAGAAAATGGCTCCTCTCCTTTGCCACGCAATCGAAAAAGCAACGCAAGTGCTTCCTGATGGAATCCGAGAAAAGTTTCTTGACAACTTTTTTCTTTCTATGCTAATGCTATAAATGCTAAAATAGAATTTCAGAAAACTGATAAAACAAAATTTATTTTTGAATCAAATGTTCTTGCAGCATGTAGTTTATCATACAGAGATTCCAAATTCTCAATTTTGAATTTTTTGTCGCTTACGTTGATTTTTTTCTATTGTACAGCAGTGGTAGCCAAATTAAATGCATGTGAAAGCGACTTTGACAAATTGGAATATTTATTTGAAATGTGAAACCTGTGACAATATCTTCAATGACACAAAAAAGCTTTGGGTAAAAGCGGAAAAGCTTCATGCTAATGGTCTTTTGAATAAGTTTAATATGAAAATTAATTTTCAATGTGCACTTACAATGACATATACCCCTTCAAAAATCATATTTAATCATTCAATAATATGACCTTCTTAATACTGAATGAAAATGGATACAATTCAAATGTTTCTGACAATGTCTTGACAGTTTAATTTTGACAAAGTGATTGAAAGTAAATTAATTTAAGTGATGTTTAACAGCTATTTAAAATAATTTACATTCATGTGATACAAAATTCAAACAAAGTGTTTGTTTTATATCAATAGTATCAATTTCACTTCTTACCAACTCAAAACATGCTATGTAAGAATGGTTGTGTGTTGTGTAATAAATAATATGTCGAATAATACTTTTTTAATTGATGTATCAAGAAATAGAGGAGAACATTTACTAACAGTTAATTAAAAAAGAAAAAAAACTCGAAAAACAAGTAAAAATATAATATTTTTATTTTTTATAAAATATCTAAATGATGTTAGTTTTTATTTAATAAATAAATTCTATATTATTAAATATGGGCAGTCTCATCTCAATTTGTTGAAGATTGAAACGGTAAGAAATTATGCTATTCGTTTTATTTTAAATACTGTTAAATCTAAAGTAACATGGTTTGTTTAAAAAGCTGGGGGGTTTTTTAATGAAAACTATAGTGGAAATTTTAATAATCTAATCTATCTGTTTTTGTTATTGACTGTGCAGTTTATGAGTTGTGTTTAATTAATTCACTTGTAAAATACTGAAACCAAATAGTAGACGGAAAAAAAATATTTATTTCGTAACAAAATTTATTTAAGAACATGATTTATTGTAAACTGGATTTTTAAAACTGAAAATAGTAATAATTATAGTAGATAAAATCTGAAGTCGTAAAATTTTCCATTGGGAAGTTTTGTTAGCAAATGTCATAATTAAAATTTATAAACATTTCAAACATTCGTTTAACTGTTCTACCGTAAAGTGCTCGACTTTTCGCGCAGGTCGTCGGGCTACCAAAGCAAGGGAGCCATAAACTCTGCAGAGCATCAAAATTGCAATGGTATGTCTCGGATCATTCAGCAGGGATGTTTCCGAGACCATCGCCAACATCCCATTGTGCAGCTCTAATGCGACGTAAATGAAGTACCTACCTTCTTCTTTTAACTCTGAACTTAACTTCCTCCGGTCACTTGCTGCTAACCGTGGATTTAACCCTTCTGCAGTTGATTCAACTTTTGCTAAACTGATTAGACCAAAACGCCTTTCTAATAATCCTTATTCAGACCTTGTTACTTTACCGTTTTTTTTTTTTTTTTTTTTTTTTTTTTTTTTTTTTTTTTTTTTTTTTTTTTTTTTTT